TTACTAACACTTCTGTTACTAACCCCCTTCAACACTTTATCCAAATAGGCCATAAATGTTCTTGTTGGTCACACCACGTCCTGACACCCCACAATCCTGCATCCAATCTGGTCATTTGCATCATCCCAAGCAAGTCCTAAGATCACTTGCTTCAAAAACGCCTGTGATAATACCAAAATAACCAACCTTATTCCTGAATTCCCAGTCACCCAATGTTTGAGAAATAACGCACAGGTTCTTGTTCCGAAGAGTTGCAAATGGTTCTTTCATGTTAAAAAATATTTGGATGGTGCAGTTAATTGCTATGAAGCACACTTTAATTGTATGACGAGATTATGATAAATCTAATATAACGCTTATGCTATCTCTTGCCCGATCTTGCCAGCCTATCAAACATATGGTGACATACTTTGTTCATTGGTAATAATTTTGTATTATTGGCCAAAAAATGTAACTTTCATAGCCAGATTCACTCTTAAATCTTGAACGACTAGACATTATCGGTAAATCGGTAATGAACTAATGATTAATGATGTTAACTCTACTCCAGATGGTGCGTTTTTGTTTCAGACAATTTCAGTAATACTATGTTCTTGATTAGAAATCTCAATGCCGTAACTTGGACTCGTTCTGGAGCACTTGTAACTTGTAAGTTGTAAGAAAATTAAGAAATTTTAGCTCCTAAAAACCGATCGACCGTCCCATGACAGTGAATAGTGAATCATGTTTTAGGGGCTAAAATTTCTTAATTTTCTTCTGAAACAAGAAACACAAGTTATTATGTTTCCATTTTAAAACTTCCATCTAAATTTTCTAAATTTTAATAACATCTTTCTTTGTTCGAGCAAATTTTAAAATAAGCATGTCAAGTATCAAAACGAAAGTGTCAATTTCACTTTGAGATAATTAAATTAATTTGCTATTCGTATTATTTACCGCTCATTCCATAAATATCAATCACACGACTTTTACTTTTCTTATTCCATGACGGTCATAATGTGCAAAGTAATAAGAAACTGAGGACAAATTGATAGAATACAGTCATGTAAGACCTACCGTTTATATATACTTTGACTCCAAAAAACAAATAATAGAGGCGCAATCGCACAAAAATTTTAAAGAACCATATGTGACTCCCTTATAGAGTCACATGGGGTGGTGTGTCATTATCTCTACCATTTACTTTTTTAGTGGAGTCCTCCACTAAAAAAGTAAATGGTAGAGATAATGACACACCACCTCATGTGACTCCATAAGGGAGTCACATATGGTTCCATAAAACCACTCCGCAACCGCACGATAAAGATGGCTTGGTTCACTTGGTTGGCTATTCACTCCCAAGTAATTGTAGAAGATGTAATGGACCCGCAACGACTTCGTGTGATTGGAGGTGGAGCTTGATTGCAACTAATGTAAGGATGTTTTTACTTGGATTGAAATTTTTTGGTTTGGTCTAGTCTGAACGGCTCTGGTCTGGTAAATGTCCGGTCTCTGTGTATTGTATATCTATCCAATTTAGTCTGGTCTAGTCTGAGACTGAAAACAGTTCATGTAAAAACATTCTAAGTCATGTTGAATTTGATTTGTCTTTTAAAGTCAAGACAGATTAAAGTTGATTCATGTGATTAAGTCGGATTTACTTATCTACGGGATTTGGAAGAGTAATTCATAGGCTTCGGGATTATAAAAAAAAAACAAAATAGAGAGGTAAATGCAATGATGGATGTGGCTCCACCATGAAATAATAGTATGGAGAAAGACGTATACCAATATATATGATGAGGCTAAAGGAGTGTTTGCAACTGCTTCTGCTTAAAAAAAAGTACTTTTGGAGAAGTAATGAAAAAGTGATTAGTAGTAAAAGTTGATAGTGTTGAGAAAAAAGTGATTTTGAAAAGTAAAAGTTGATAGTGTTTGGTAAAATAAGTGCTTTTTGTGTAATAGAAAAGGGAAAAGCACTTTTCACACGCAAGCCGAGAAAAAGTAAAAATTGGAAGTGTTTGGTAAATAAGTGCTTTTTTAAACCAAAAGCTGAGAAGTGCTTTTTTTAAGCTATTGCAAACACTCCCTAAGAGGAGGCCGGAGGCCTCACCATGTCAACAAGTTGGGTACAAACTTTTGTTCTCATGGGCAGATAGAGATGTGTCACAAATTCAGCAGGGATTGTTTTTGACCACCCCACTGGCTAGTGGTAGAAATTATGGACAATAATTATAATTCACCAGAAAGACAAGAAACCATGGTGGTAAAAGCTTGCCTTAGACTTTGGAGTAAAACGGTAGGGGCTAGAGATTTGCCCAATAATGTATGGCGCCTCAAGTTTTCCATATGTAGGTGTGCACCAATGTCACCTCTATGACGCTGTATTTGCCTAAAAACGATTGAGTAAATTTCCAACACGCAAACTCCACCCTTTTCATAAAGTGCCTTTACAACTGCAATGCCAATAGAGGTTTTGTGGAGTTGCTAAACTTTAGGTTGGAACTTGGTTTACCAATTTCATTTCATTATTTAATTAAAAGCAGATGCTTCCAATGGGCCCCGGTATCTATTCATGTTTAATTAAGATAAGTCATACTGGACTTTGATCATACTATAATGAGAATTTTTTTCAAAATATGAGTAAAAAACTAGGAGCAATTAATTTCAAACCGAAAAAAACTAGCATATTTAATGTTTGGTAACGTCAAAACATGAAAATAATTACTCATATTTAAGAAATAAAAACAGGAGAATCCTATTTTAAATTTCAAAAACGTTTGTTGTACTCTTGTGTAGGGTAATTTTTTATTATAAATGATAGATCATTGATCTTCTTCATCCGACAAGCGTTATCAAACATGTTTAGTTTGCTCGCTACCTGATAAGTTACATTATTTTCTATCCATCCAAATAAATTTATTTCATAATCTGAATCATATTTGGTAATAATAATGTGGATTGAACTCATTTATACATTACTTTCCTTGTCAACCACACAATTAATAATTCTATTATAATGCATCAAAGATGCTTAAACATTGGCAGCAGTAAATTTAGGATACATTTGACACAAGAAGTTGAATGGATATTTTACCCTTAAAACTACTTGACAGATTCTTAGAGCATCTCCAATGGAGAGGTGGATTGCCAAAAAAAATGTCATCCACCTCACCCAATTGACCCAATGTGCTCTCCAATGCAAAACCAAAAAAATGAGGTCTATCCTAGGTGGCAATGACCAAGGTCCAAGAAGAGGTCTATATTGGGACCTTGGGTCTCACCCCCTCTCTCTCTCTTACAAGTTGCTTCTCATGTGTTTTGCACGCACTTGCAATTTGTTTAACATTGGAGACCTATTAGAATGGACCCTCTCATTCTAAGATGGACTCTTTCCATTTAATTGCCACATCATCTCCAATGCACCCATTGCATTGGAGTTGCTCTTAGGATCCTAAGATGAGATGCTCTTTTTTCTTGATCATAAACGAATCAGAGGAGCATGTGGGATATGAATTGTCATCAATTAATAAAGCCATCAGAAGTTTGTTGAAAAGGATACTAACTCACACTTTCAGTTTCAGTTTGTTTCATTATCCATAGAAAGCAGCCAGCAAGTGTATGCACTTTTGTTTGGTCCCCTTTTCATCTCATAAGACGTGAAAAGACTTATGAAAAGACTTTGAGAAGCAAGAGTAAAGAGTGGAACAAAAGCACCTTTTGTATGGTCTGTTGGTCAATCTTGCTTCACCTAGCCGCAAAGCATTAGCTTCATGTTCACACCAGGGGTCCTCATCAATACATAAAAAAAAGTCCTTTAATTAGGTCATAATTTTGACTCAAAATAGTGTTATAGAAGAAAGTCCTATAATTAGGTCGTAATTTTGTTTCAAAATAGTGTTAAGAAGAAAGTCTTTTTATACCTACATAGACAATAAAACTACAATAAAGGCGATGCACGGTTTTTGGTACAGGCACAATCTTATGTGACCGATAGAAATATGTAGCTAAAGATAGTACCCAAAAGGTAGATCAGCAATTTTTTATTTACACAAGATTTATACACACTTGAAACAAATTTGTACGTAATTGTCTACGTACACAAAAAAATGTTGTACGAGTTGTCTATTTACACAGATAATTGGGGAGTGAACACATTTTATGCGTGCACAAACAATTACGGACAAATGTGCATCAAGTGTGTACCAATTTCGGGTACAAATAGATTTTTTCAAGATAACTGCCTAATTTTTGTCATAGATTGAAGGGTGATCATTGATCAACCATCTATGTGAGATGAGCCCAACCCTTTGCCCTTGGTTATGACTTGTCAGTATGAGAATTTTATTTATTCACAACTTCCGTGAAGATGGCCGCGATAAATATATATACTCTTACTCACTTATTATTGGTGTTCAATCCTGAGTGATTTATGGAGAACATATAGTTATTTGGTGTCTTGTGCCACCACTATCACCACACAGTTATTTAGTGGGGGCTACTAAATTATAATTATGTGTGGTGGCCATATGACAAAGAAGGAACTAATCAAGGAAGTCATGTGTCTCTTTAATATTTTTGGTTCAATTCCAAATGAAAATAAAGTCATCTATGGGTTCCATTTATTCTTTCATAATATATTTTATTTGGAAGTAATTTTTTTATTAGTCACACTCTTAGGGACCTTTAAGTGAGTAAAATATTGGAAAACATATAGAAACCCTTGGGTTTATTTTGGAAATAAAACCAATTTAAAATTACTCACAGTCACACCACAATACTTTTGGTGTTCAAGCTGTCTCTAGTGTCACTTTCATGAGGAGAGACCACTTTGAAAACAATCCATCCACCTCGCCATAATGACAACCCATTAAAACACCACCTATATAATAAATGACTTGAATCCCATTTTTCTATATTATTGTAGTTTAAAAATGTTTCCATGGTCTGGCCTCTGTACTAAAACTCTATTTTATACCCTTTTTAAGGAAGCAATAATAATAGTAGCAGAAGAACCATAATGCACGAAACAGAGCTACACAAAGGTCATATTTTAAGTCCTACAAGTTATTGACTTGCAACTTAAATATTGGAGAGCCATTATTATTATCACTACCAACAAAAACTGGGCATGTAGTCATGCACATTAATGGACTAATTGTTACTAAACTTACTATTGTTTTGTTTTACACTATACAAAGTACAAACAACAACTCTAATGATGCTAATTGATTAAATAAATGAATATTAAGTAAAAATCCCGCTAATCCCGCTAATACCCCTCGTGTAATTACTAATTTGCCCTTAGACTATATCCAATTTATCCATTGCACCAGCAGCATTGAAGCTGTTCTCAGAGGAAGAAGGAGAAAAGACAATCAAACCATTCAAGTCAGAAACACTGTCTTGGAGAGTCTCAAGGAGATGAGAAGTGCTGTAACTCATGGAAGGCTTGACCATAGGGACTAATGGCACTTCACACTCTCCAACCAGCATCTGAACAACTCCCCTCATTGTGGGTCTAGCCATTGGGTCAGGGTGTGAGCAGACTAACCCAACCAACAGAACCCTTCTCATCTCCCCTTCATCAAACTCACCACCCAATCTTGAATCAGCAGCTGAGAGTAACTTCCCTTCCCTGTGTAAGCCCCAAACCCATTCCACTAAGTTCCCATTCACCCCCACCCTCTTCTCCCCTTCCTTCTCTATCGGTCTCCTCCCGCTTGCCACCTCGAGAACCACTGCCCCGTAACTGAATACATCGGTCTTCTCGGTTGCTCGGCCTGTCAAAAGATATTCAGGCGCTAAATAACCCATTGTCCCGGCTGCCACGGTCGCGTCTGGAGATTTGTCATGCTCAACGGTTCGGGCTAACCCAAAATCCCCAACCCGAGCGTTAAACCCTTCATCCAACATTATGTTACTCGTCTTGATGTCCCTGTGGATCACTTGATTCTCACATTCTTGGTGTAGATATGCCAATGCTGAGGCAACACCTAAGAGAATTTTTCTCCTATGAGGCCACGGGAGAGTCATTCTCGACTCGAATAACGCCTTGTCCAGGCTCCCGTTTGGCATAAGGTCATAGACTAGCAATATTTCACCCTTCTCCTGACACCATCCTTGAAGCCGAACAAGATTCCGGTGTCTGAGTGTGGCAATTATGGATAATTCTGATAAAAACTCTGTTTTTCCCTGTCCTCCGGCATGACTACACCTCTTAACTGCCACGACTTCGCCGGTTTCCGGCAGTGTTCCCCTGTACACGGTGCCATACGCGCCGTGCCCGATGATCCGGCAAGAATCGAAGCCTTTTGTTGCGGATTTTAAGCTTTTGTACATGAATTCCTTGGGCATTTTAACAATGTCTGATGAAAAAGATTCCCGGGTTTTCACTCTCTTGAATTTCTTCGAGTAAAACCAGACAAGGGACAGAGCTGCAAATGCTAAACAGAATGCCCCCGCCGTGACCACTCCGACGACCGCCCCTGTCCCTTGCTTACACAGCTGGTTGTGGCACTTTCTGCCGCTGTTATCCCGGACGGCGGCGGCGGTTGTGTTGATATTGCTTGACTCGGATGGAGCTATGGTAGGCGGAGGTGCTGGTACAGAGTTCGCCGTGGGGTTCATCAAAGTGGTGGTGGTTGGAGGCGGCGGCGGAGGGGTACTGGAGGTCGGCGATTTGGAATCCGGCTCGAATGAGGAGGTGAAGCTCCACCATTCGATGCTGTGGATCTCTGTGCTCCCCTGGGTTGACCCGGAGAATCCGACGAACATGAAATCGTTCACGTAATGGGCTAGGTTCAGTGGGATTGATAAAAATGGCAACTTTGGTTTCAGATTAGAGTAAGATACGGAGATGTTGAGTAACTGAGTCGACCCGGAGTAGTCAATCCACGAGTTGACCAGGTCACCGCTTTTCAGATTCACGTCGGCGGCGTCGAGATCCCCCACCTGAGAAGATACCATCGAGTTCAAATCCAAGCCAACGTGGTTCCCGTTGACGTCTTTAAACTCCACGTCCATTAAAGTGTCGAATTCCACCGCCACGGCGGCGCTCGCCGCCCCCGTTGAGTCCATGATTCCCATGTACGCGCCGGCGTCTCCCACCGCCTCATCTTCGGGAGTGATGACAAAAGCAAGGCCGCCCCCGATGGAAGACGGGTTCAGGTTAATCACCGAGAACGAGAAAAAAGTCGAAAAGCTCGCCGGAGTGTTCGATTCGGGCTGCCGGAACCTGACCGGTCTGGCGTACAGCACCCTCCCGGCGCCGGAATTGGGCACTGCGAGGTCGCGCGTGAGGCGCACGGTGCTATTGGACAAGTGCGCGTCGCCAAGGAGCTTCAAACTGCTCAGAGTCAAGGTCCCGAAGTCAAACTGAGTGGTGGCCGCACTGCCGGAGAAGCAGAGGAAGGAAAGAACCAAGATGACGGCAATGGCGCCGGCGAAATCACCCGGAAATGACGTCATTGCTGGATCTGGGGTCAACCCATTATCATTCCGGGAAGATGGATGAATTCACGGAAGGATAAGATTATTTTTCTCAGAGAAGAATCCAAAAATCACGAGATAGAGAGAGAGGGGATGAACAGAAAAACAGGGGTGTGAATGAATGAAAGAAGAAGAGAAGAGAATCCCAAGTGATGGGTGGAAGAAGACATGTGGCTTAGGTTGAGGGCCACGTCGCCACGTGTCTGTAACGGTAAAATTGGCAGTGCGGTGATAACTCTTACAAAGTTGCCGGTTGCCATGTTGGATTGCTGGTCTGGTCTTTGTTGTCATTATCCAAAACTACACATCTCATTGGTCCAAAACCTGCGAACCTTGTCAGGGTTCAATCAAATTTACACACAGTAAAAATGTTGAAGAAAATTATTTTTGGAACCCTTGGCTAACTCTTTTTTGGCTTAACAAGTCCTTTCATTCCATTGTTTTTGCCTAGTAAAATTCATTAAATGACACTCAAAATTGCCCCCCCCCCCCCAAAAAAAAACTCAAATTCGTTGAATAATATGAACATACTATCATGAATGAAGTTGGGATTGATTGGTTGAATGAGATGAATATACTGAATTATCCAAAATTAATATTTAAAATATTTTATTAATAAAATAAAAGTGAGTTCTAATTCTCGTATAATAGAGCATAGTATATAGTCTAAATTAGACACACTAGTTCTCAAGCAGAAGTTCGTATAAATTATCCATCCACTGATTGAATCCGCTATTGAGAATCTGCTAATATAATCGCGTATAGTATATAAGTATAAGGGCCTTAAAGCCCATAACGCACAAATGTAATAAATACAATAAAATATGATTCGATTAAGAGCTTGATTGGCATGCTCACAACAACTTGTAAAGTGCTTGAGTATCTTTAAGAACATTGCCCAAAACTGCCAAAAGTGAGTTCTCAGGCAGAAGTTCGTAGTATATAGACATTTTCATGTTTTGACTTTGTGTTCAATTATTTTACATTCACAAAGTTATGGGAATAATGAGTATTTTTTTATCATGGCCTTCAAAAAAGTTTATTGGATATCTTGGCAGCAATGAGACATGTTTCTACTGCACAACTCATTCTCAGGGAATTGACAAAAAATGGATGGGAAGACTTTCTTGATGAAGTAAAGGAGTTTTACTCAAAACACAAAATTCATGTACCAAAGTTGAATTCTAAATATATGGTTGGTCGTACCGAAAAGAAACTATAGTTGAACGTCATTACCACTTTGATGTTTTCAATAAGGCAATAGACTTTGTATTGATGGAGTTAAGGACCCGATTTAGTGATAAATCGGTGGAACTTCTTTCTTTGAGTGATTCATTGGATCTAAAAAATTCATAAGAGTCATTCAATGTCGATGCTATATGTACTTATGCAAGGAAGTTCTGTCCCAAAGATTTTAGTAGTCAAGATATCCATGCTTTTGAATTTGAGCTGCAAGACTATGTTCATGATGTGATTCATGATACCAAGTTTCAAGTATCTAGATTTATTGAATTATTTAAGGAGTTGACTAAGAGCAGAAGATCTGATTCATATGTTATGATGAGCAGATTGATTCGCCTTGTATTGATCTTACTGTTTCTACGGCAACAATAGAACGATCATTCTCTGCCATGAAACTTCTAAGGACAACACTACTCGACAACAAAATGCATGATGACTTTCTTACTGTTTGCACGACACTTTATATTGAAAAAGACATACTCTTACTATAGATGTAGACTCTATTGTTGATGAGTTCTTTTTTTTGTTTCAAAGCCTCATCGAGAAGAAATTTAGGGGAGAACTCTTATATTTCGTATTTAATTTTTTTCCTTTTTTTGAAAATTTTCAATATATTATCATTTGTGTTTCAGCCCATCCCAACATGAAATCCTGGATCCACCCTCGGAGAAAAGTGTTATAGAAAAATGATGTGAGAAGAGCACCATTCTTATTTTATACTTAAATTCAAAATCTAACACATCTAGAAAGAATTTATAAATGAAAGGCAAGATGATATGGAGTCAAATGCCCCAATTGCTTCAAAACATAGCAGGTGTTTGGTAAATGGTGATTCAACAAAAAAATGGCGATTTGATCGACCACTTTTGACATTTTCGATAAGTGAAAACGTTGTTTGGTAAATAGCGGTTAAGCAATAACGTTTTTGGACAGAAACATTGAAATAGAAATGCTGCAAATAAGAGACTTTTGGGTTAGCATTTTGAATTGAAAAATGGCGTTTTCTATTAATTTTGGGGTTTTTTTGGCATTTAGCGGTTAGCAGATAGCGGATTATGTTAGCGGGTTGTCAATAGTGAATTCAATCAGCGGGTTTTACTAGCGGAATAAGTTGGCGGGTTGGCAGAAGATGTTTGGTATTTTAGCCGTTTGGCCATAAAATTAATAGAAAACGTCATTTCTCAAAATACTAGCCCAGAACTCTTCTATTTGCAGTGTTTTCGTCAAAAAACGCTAGTGTCAAACCGCTATTTACCAAATAGTGTTTTCACTTATCGAAAACGTCAAAAGTGGTCAAACCATCATCTTCCGCCAACCTGTCAACTTATTCCGCAAGTCAAACCTGCTGATCGAATCGATCCGCTATTGACAACCCGCTAATATAATACGCTAACCGCTAAATGCCAAACACCCCATAATCCTTTCTAAATGTAATAGACACGTCATGAAAAGTATCAAACTTGTAAGCATATTTCAGTTTGTACTCAAGATATGTTCACCGACATCGATCACTTCTTCTCTAGAGAAAACTTCTAACTTTATGATCTCTTAATAAATCACCAACATTATATCACTTCCACCAACTTAAAGGTAGATACTTCGTATAATTTTTAAGTATTCCAATATTATCCTTGTCACATGATGCAAATTAAACTTTCTCATCCTTAGTCACCAAATGCGTTAAACAATCATCACAACGATCCTCTTTTAGCTAGTCCCATATTTCTTATTTGGCTAGTAGATAGATACATCTTCTGCATCACCACCCGTATTATTCATTTGATCTTCTCCATATTATTTTCTAAAATCATTTTCATCAACTCCTTATTTATCTACCTCTTCAATTCTAGCAGCCATGGTCTTTTTGCTTAAGTAGCTTGGTCCTTCTCAAACACTTCATGCAACCAATTCATCATAGTGTGAAAAAGGTTTATGCTATTGTGACAATCATAACTTGGAGAGAAACAAGTTAATTTGACAAACAATGTTACGAGGAGAAGCCCCCAATGTCCATCTAAGGTGAAAATGTAGTATTAGTACAAGATAAAAGAGGATCGCTAGAGAACAAATGTCACAAAACTAGAAAAGATAATACTAAAGTTATTCATGAAGCAAACGTACATAGTACTATTATGTATTTTACGCAAACTCTAGAATGATGCCGACTTTGGAAGCAAGCATGCATATTATCAAGAGAATACAACAACTTACACAAGAATAAACGAGAACAAATCCATAGCTGAATTATTTGTATTTTTTGTTACGGAATTATTTGTATTATTATTCAACAATTTGTGAGATAAAAAATGGTAAGTGTTTAGTCATAGCTTGTTCGATTATTTATTAAAACAGAGAACATAGATTCATGTGGAGCTCACTTCTCTTTTGCTCGTAAGAGCTCTCCATATATTCGGGAGAGGACTAATTAACTTAGTCACTCAAAAGAAAACACTTAATTATTTACTCTTTGTAGCTAGTTACAAAATGATCTTTTTAGTTACTATTAACAAAGCGACAATCCTTTCTGATCTCTCCTTGATCACCTGTTAGCGGATTATTCTCGGACATAATGAGAAGAGCTCGAGAAAACTGGTCATGGAAATAGCCATTATCCACTGCCATGTTCTGAACAAATTGAGAGGTTGCTGGATGAGTGGCTAACTCCTGATCAATAACCAATAGACCCTTGTGTTCCAATAGCCCTTTGTAGTACATGTTGTCTAGCACCATAGGAGTCTCAAGGTCATTCCTGGCATAGTTAGGTTCCATTGCTCTCGGGTCGGGGTTCGTCGCGGGGCACCGCAACTTGAGGTACTCGGCGTAGGCGGGATCCAACGTCGGATCAACGTCAGGGTAGAGCCTATTCACAATGTTGATGCAGTGAACTCTGCCTACCGAGTGAGCACCTGAATATATAAATTTACTATTTGAAATTTGTCCATTTTATGTTGTATTTTTATATATTTTTATGAGCATGAGATATTTAAATGCAATGTTGTGGAAAACAAATTGATAGAGCAACAAAGTATATCTTCGAATTCGTGAGGTCATGTTGAAGATGGAGTCTTGTTTTTAGGTTCAGAGCAGATACCCGACCGGGTATGGTTGGCCACCCGACCGGGTATGTTGAAGCAGAGACCGGGGGATCTCACTGGGCGTGAGACCCGACCGGGTCAGGGAAGGGACCCGACCGGGTCAGCGAGGCAGAAGCCTTCTGTTTTGGAAACCCGACCTGGTTTCTACCCGGGTGTGAAATCTGTGAAGGAGACCCGACCGGGTCAAATAAGAGACCCGACCGGGTCAGTCGACGGGATTTTTTAAAACAGGCTTAATTTGGGCCTGCGGCTCTAATCTTGATTTAGGTTTTCTTAAACCTATATAAACGACTCTTAATGTACTTGTAAATATGGTTGGACGCAGATAATAATATATCCTCTCTCTCGTTCGCCGTGGACTAGCGTAATCACCCCGATTGCGTGAACCACGTTAATTCTTGTGTTCTTGCTCTTAATTTATCGTTTATCTTTGCCTAATCGTAACAATTGGTATCAGAGCTATGGCTGACGAAGGGAAGGTTAAGATCGATAAATTTGATGGTCAAGATTTCGCTTTCTGGAAGATGCAGATCGAGGATTATCTCTACCAGAAGAAGCTTCATCAACCGTTGTCTGAGAACAAACCAGAAACGATGACGGAAGCGGAATGGAATTTGTTGGATCGACAGGCTCTTGGTGTGGTGAGGTTGTCGTTGGCGAAGAACGTTGCCTACAACATCGTTAACGAGAAGACAACGTATGGACTGCTCAAGGCGTTATCCAACATGTATGAGAAACCCTCAGCAGCAAACAAGGTTTTCTTGATTAGACAGTTGGTG